TTAAGAACGCGTTTCAATGGCAGTTTGACTTTTGTTCAAGCATTTTGTTTTCTTGTTGTTGTTTGTTGTTGCATGTGGCACGCGCACCATTTGATGTAAGAGAGGATAGAAAAAGGAAGCTGCTTCAATTGACTGAAGCAATTGGCTGGCTGATTGATTCAGTTGGGTTAGCAAACGGTAAATAATAGTGGACAGTCAGTGTTTAGAATGGCAAATTTCACTAATGAAAACAATGGGCACATTCGCATTGCAAATTATTTGCCCGCATAGATGGGATTCTTGAAGGTGGATGTGGCCTGCTTGTAGATAGGATTCTCGCCCTGGGGAAGCAAAAAACAAAATCAATTATATAATCCCTTCTCTGGCCGTTAATATCAATCGTTGTCTTACCGTGTCCCATTTGGCATTCATGCGCTCCTTCTCGAAGCGTGCGAATTCGCGACGATCGTGTATGGTGGTCAGCAGCTTCCAGAGCAGCAATATGGCCAAGCCAACGAGAACAATGGCGGCGATGACGCCCAGGACAATGCCTAGCATAAAGACCTTGGGCGGGCATTCCTTCTCCTGCTGGGCATAGACGACTAGCTCACCCACCTCACTGTATTTGAACGTAAACTTGCAATCATCCTCGTCGAAGAACACGCACAGCTGCTCGTCCTTGTGCTCGTCGATCTTGACCGTGTCAACGCTAATGGCCGTGAATGTGGTGCAGTTCTTGGCGCAATCATCGCCGTTCTTCAGCTGACCCGTCTGATACATTTGGCACTGGACGCAGTCCTTCAGGTCGTGACAACGGCCCGAGCATGTCGGGCACTTGTCGCAATATTTGCCCGAGTAGCGGCCCTCGTCCATCGATTTGCATTTGCAGACGCCGCACTCGCAGGTGCCGTGGCCCGAGCAGATCTCACCGCCGCCTGGTGGCATGCACGTGTCCTTCGATGTCTGGCAGTCGCAGCTGTTGCCCGTCCAGCCGGGCTTGCACACACAGCGATTGCACTCGCAGGTGCCGTGATCGGGGCCCGAGCACAACAAATTCTTGCGTCGCTCACAGCTGAAGTTCTCGCACTCGCAATACTTGCCCGAGATGATCTCGTCGGGATTGGTGCGCTTGTGGCATTCGCAGGCGCCGCACACACAGCTGCCACGACCGTTGCATTCGGCCACGCTCGTATCGTTGCTCGGCCGGCACATATTATCATTGACCTTATTCAAATGCATATCAGACGTGGAGCACTCGCAGGTGTTACCAAAATGCTGCTCGTCGCACTCACAGATGCCGCACATATAGGTGCCGTGGTTGTGACACTTCTGCGAGTGCAGCTCGTAGCCAGTGGAGCCGGCATGCTCGCAGGGACAGGAGCACAGCATCTCCAGATCAATGATCATGCTTTCGTTAATTCCCACCGGATAGATTTGAATGGCCTACCAAGATCAAATATATAGTTAATGATAATCCTGAGCAACATTATCCGAAAAGACTTGGCTATCTCCCTCCCTCCCTCTCTCTCTCTCTACCCAATCCTCTGGCTTTCTGTTTGCCTATACATACCTGATTCCAATGACGTGGATCAGTTGGACATTTGGTCACCGTTATTTGAGCCGTAAAGGTGACCTTGTCGCCGACCTTGAGACCGCTGCACTTGTTCGTCTTGATCTGGGGTCCATTGGTCAGGCAGCTAGACAAATACGTGACCTTAACATCTCCAGTGGCATTGTCCTTCATCTCCACCGTCGATGAGATTTTCTGCAATGACCAAAAGCCAATGAATAATCGATATTTCCCACGATATTTCAATCGATCACTTACGCCATACTCCTCGCGCACCAGATCCACCACATTGGACGAATCATTGGACAAAATGGCGCTGGACGAGCCCTCAATGTGAGCGGACAGCTTCTGATAGACGGCATACTGATTCTGTGTGACGGCAAAGATAATGTTGATCGCATTCTGTTTGACCTTCTGGTTGATCTGCGATATGCTCGGATAATCCTGTATTATCGAATGCGTGTACATGCCCTGTGCATTCAAATGGCATTCGCCATCATTCGGTGTAATCACGCCGCCCAATTTGCCATCGCCGGCATAATGGAAGCCCGCGTCCGTTGAGAACACTAGCAAACGACGCGCCTTCTCGCGCCAGCCGATCTGCTGTCGGCAGGCAATCGCCTGCATTATGGCATCGAAGCCACCTTCAGGTGCATCCAAATTTCCAGAGACAGCCGCCTCCTTCACCTCGTTCTGTAGGTGTGTTCAGATATATACATATATATAGGAATATATATAGAGAGAGAGAGATAGAAAAGTGATAAATTAATAAACAAATAATAAAATTGATATTTAAATGCAATTGCTGTGGTGCAATGGTTAAGCTGGTGTTAGATGTTGGCACACTCCTCAGCTGGGTTAGTCGATAACGAAGCGATATTTTCGATAACGATTGCAAAGGACTTTCTTTCGATTGAGTTGCGATTTAATTTTCAGCAATGATTGCCAATATTGTATATAGGCAAGCAAGCTTTTCAAGCGAACACGATCGCATATCGATAATTTATCGATTTTAGCATAAACATATTTAAATCCAATTAGTTGATCAATCTTTAATTATAAGTAGGTTAGCAATTGTTTCCTGTTGGTAATTTATAAAAGTTATCGATTTCATTCATATCGATTTCATTCATATCTTGTTTCAAATGACGGAATACATCAATTTTACTTTAGTTCTTGGCTTTCGACTGGAAACAACGCTTCGCTACGCTATAAATATAATTTTAGTTCTCAATCTTGAAAAAAGTAAATGAAATGCCAACGTTTTGCGATAAGATTAGCTAGCATATAAGCATGCCTGCATATATGTATATGTATATATGCCATACATATGTGTATTTAGACATAATCATATCGACAAGACAAGAGTGTGCCAGGGACATACGCATTGATAGAGACTTATCAACAAAGTGTTCTCATGCAGCAGGCAAAGAGGTTAAGTTAAGGATGTGAGTTATGAAAGACGAAGGAACGTGCAATAGCATTCAAAGAATTTAGGATAATCATAAACCAAAACAAGACACCAAATACCAGATATTAGAATAAATAAATCCAAATAAAAAACAATAATCATTATGATATTGTAATAGTAAAACAAATTCGTTGGGGTTAGCTGCTAAACGAGTTTGGACAGGTCTCTAATTGGATTAGAAGGAAATTTTCTGCTTCTAAATTTGTTTTTTTTTTTTTTTTCCTTTTTTGTTTGGGCAGTTGACAACTTACAGAGAATCTATATGTGTCCATGCTCAAGCCCATGATGTTACGATAGCCATAGGGAGCATCGCATTTGGGACATGGCTCCTCCAGGCTAAATTTTGTATACGAATTTTGTTTTTGATTTTTGTTTTGTTTTTTTTTTAGTGTGAAGCAACAAGCAACCGTTTTTTTTTTTCACAATTTTTCAAACACATATATAGACATAAAGAATAAATATATATATATATTAAGAGAAAG